GGGGGGGGGGTGTTCAGTTACACGCTGGTATCTGCACATGCAGCCCCATTACATACCAAAAGGAAACTAACAAGGTACCATGTCATACAGACAACATACGTACTTTGGGTAAGAAAGTCAGCTGACCGATTAACTATAAGTGTGGCAAGTTCAAGAATTTATGTCAATGACTCGTGATCTCAGCAATGGTGAAGATGATCTGTTTATAATTATAGTTCATGTCAGTCTGGCTTTCGCAAAGGAAATAACAAAGTAGAGTTGTTAAGTCAGATGACGAAATGTCGTTGTGGTTTTTATAACTAACTGTATTGAAAATACATATTTTAACTTTGTCGGGGATTATTACAGATTATTATTTTCTTTAACCTGATGCTGGAATATTTATGTTCAGTTAAAGTTTCCAAAGTAAGTTTTATTCTGTTCTTCGCACCACTATGGGGTCGTGTCGTGTGTTGTGACACGTTGCTGGTGTCCCTGCTTTTCGACCTCTGCAGCTTAACACCTCAGGATTGCTGGGCAACATGGAGCTCAACGTGGGCGTGGCCATCGCGTGCTTCCTGGCACAAGAGGGGGCAGACGTCAACTACGCCAATCACAAGGGCAAGAGCCCGTTGGACCTGGTGACAGACGGCGCCGTGTTGCAGCTCATCAAGAACTTTTCTGAGAAGCACAGGTAGGGAGGCCCCTCCCCTCAGGTGGTCAGGGAAAGCTGATGGGCTGAATGCAGTGTCAATCTCTCTGCTCAGCCAATCGAAAGGCAGTCACAGTTAGAGAGAACACCCCCTCAAAAAAGAAAGTTATCATAGGTTTACCACATGGTCACTTGTTTTCATTCCCATTTTGTCCAGGTATCACTTCTGTAATGTCCTGAAATGCCACTTTACACTTTAGAATCTGTGTGCGTTTCCTGTATTGTGATGAATGTTTCTTCAAAACACAAATGCGCATGTCACTATATTTTTAATGGATCCTTCACTTGTGCTATTTATATTCTCATGCACAGTCCCGTGGGGTCTACAGCGATACAGTTGGAAGTCTTCGAAGTCCCTTCACATTTGCATATTCGTTGCTTTGTTTTATCCAGTTTTTATGCTGGAACGTTGCCGCGGTTACTATCTGTGCAACTCATGAGGCTGCATTAAAAACTGTGTGTTAATTAATGAATGAAACCAGTGGCTGAAACCTCCCATGCAGAGACAGTTAGAAGCATTAGCATTCATGTGGCAGCACCCTGATGCTGCCTGGGTATGCCAGGCGATGGCACGTTAGGCCCACCTCCCATAACACGCCGGGCCAGGCGATGGCACGTTAGGCCCACCTCCCATAAC